CAGAGAGAGAGAAAGAGAGGGAGACAGAGAGAGAGAGAGAGAGAAAGCGGGACAGGGATACGATGGAACGAGACTAGAGGAGAAAGGGGGATACACGGGAGAGAAGGCTCCAGAGAGAGGTTTTGCTTGAAAAGACAGGAGCAACCGAGCAAACAGAGAGAAAGAAAGAGAGAGATGGGATGCAGGGATGCGAGAAGAGGTCCACAAAACGCGAGGAGGGACGACGTCGGGTCGCGGAGGTGAGGCAACGAAATAAACGGAATCCCATCCAACGCGATGGAACTAGGGATAGAGAAACGGGTCTGCTAAAAGGACGCACCAACGCCACTCTTTGACAAATTCCAAACTTGCTCGTAGTTTGCGATGTCGACGGAATTTTTTTTCGGACGAGCAGTCTGAGAACCGTTTGAACGGTCGTCGAATGATTATGAATACGTTCGCTCTTGTAACACGAAGATCTTACGACTACACACGTGCGAGAGCGAGTCGCTTAGGTTGACCGAGAGGAAGCGGCGAGAATTAAAAAACGTTGTCATTGAAATTAAAACGTTGAAACTTTCATTTTCACGCGTCAAGACGACAGATACGTCGAAACGTGAGAACTCAGATACTATAGCCAAGTTAACGGAACTCAATTGGCGAGTAAAAGTCTGACTGAATGCGATATTTCGTTAACTACCCGCTCGACAGCCTCTCTGACGAGTATATTTTAGGTTACTGCTTTTTTCTGGTGGTTTAATTGAAAGGGGATCGGTAACCGGTATTCGAAACGAGTGAAATCTTCCTGGCATCGCGATCTATGGTTAACGTCCGGTAGCTAGACGATCCGTGTATAACGGTATACGTATCGTGGCAGCGCGACTGCAATTCGAGTCACGACGAAGACTCGATAATTAACGTAGTGGAGCGAGTGGCGAACGTAGCGTTGGTGCTGATCGATTCGAATGGAGCAAACGGACCGTGAAAGAAAACGCTGGGGAAAGGTATTGATTGCTGCTGTACGAAAAGTCGCGACGCCCTGTGCTCCAACTTCTGGCTACGATCGCTGGCTGACTTCCGGTCGAACTGCTCTTCCTTTCTCAGAGGCTTTCTCGCTGAGACAACGTGTCTTTAAGTTTTCTCGTGGGAAAAGTAACTGCTAAATGAATCGTCTGGATCGTGTTGCAAGTGTCATCGTGATGTAGACGATTCAGCGATTCATTTTCACTAGTTTGCTCGTTAAAGGATCGTTCGGACGAGAATTGTAAAACTATGTTTCAACGATACTGCGCGTGCACGATGTGCGGCAAGTTTCTTCTTGTTCGCAATGCGATCGATCGTCGAAATTTTCTCTTTCTCTCTCTATCTCTCGGAAACCGATCAGATAAGACCCTGATGCGTAACCGGTTAACGAAGCACAACTGTAACGCGTATTCGACAAAGCATATCCCGCAAACGATGCTCCCGATAATTTTCCCCATGACCCGAAGCGACACCATTTTGTCCGATCGATATGGTGTCATCCTCTGACCCCTGAACCGACACGGATACCGCCAGAAAGCGCAAGTTACCATCGCACGTTCTAAGCTAGATCGGCGAGATTTTCGAAAGAAGTACGAAGAGCAGGAGACTTTTCATCCTTAACCACGTTCCAGTGTCACTGGCACGCGGATTTTTTGTTTAAAAAAACGTGTGACAGATAGTACCGTGCAGCGCGATAAAAGTCGATTGAGTAGAAATTGCCTACGTAAGCACAAGTGATTTAGGTTTAATTGAAAAGAAAGTAATTAGGAGACTGATATGACTGACGACGATATGACGCTATAATCGAAACCGAGAGCATTGTACAGGATGGGCCAGAAGTTCCCACCTATTTTTCTTTTTTTTTTTTTCTTTAACAAAACATCAAAATATAAGAAAAAATTAATTTTAAATTATTGAATTAGTGTATTTTAATGTGTGAACAAAATTTTTTTTTTAATATATAATAAAACTACGGATTTAGTTTGGTAGGAAGTGATTTTTGACCAATTCTGTAGATTGAACACCGCGACCAAACGCTGTGGCACCATTCGACACGGAATCTGAACAGCGCGATCGCGCTGCGTGGCACTGAAATGGTCAAAAACGATCCACTGCGTGAGAATTGAAGTTTAATATCGCAGACAACGCCATATCATCATAGACAACATCGTTTGCAACAAATATTGCAACCGATATCTCAAACGCGTCGTGGTGGAATTTCACCCGCAGTAGCGCGCAAAAAATGTGAAGGTAAAAAAATGGGCCGATATTTAATTAAACTTCTCGAAGCGAACGAAGCTCGTACGTTTGAACGTTTCCAAAAGGTCAGACTCCCCGATCACGGGGGTGAAATCAGATAGTCACAATGTCTGCCTTAATTAGTTAATAGCACGTAGAAACGTGAGATTAAGCGAGGTTATCAAGACGAGCTCTCAAAGAGTACGTAACCATGGACACACTCGAGGAGTAAGAAAATGAGCTGGAAAAGTGAACGCTCGAAATGAAATTATGGCGCTCGGGCCAGTGTCGAAGTCGCCAGTGTATGAAGAGTGTCTTCCAGCCGAGGTGTGTCGACGACCGAGGTGGATTCGAAAGAAGAAAAAAAAGGAGAACAACGCGAGAAGGATCCTCGAATCGGGGAGAAAAGGCTAACCGCCGAGAGAGAGAGAGAGAGAGAGAGAGAGAGAGAGAGAGAGAGAGAGAGAGAGAGAGAGAGAGAGAGAGAGAGAGAGAGAGAGAGAGAGAGAGAGAGTGTAGAAGGGCTTGATCGCAAACGTGCAAGTAGTGCTAATTAAAGTAAGTGGCCGAACAGGCCTCTCCTTCCTCAAGAACGCGTTATATATACATATATAAAAAGGAGTGTGTATATATATGTATGTGTATATATATATATATATATATATAAAATACGAAGGCTGATTCGGCTCCTTTGGAAAAAATGGCGTTAGAAGGGGTCTTGGGGCGAGCGTGAACGGAAACGAGAGAGAACCGAGTGAAGGAAAAAAAAGGAAAAAAAAAAAAAGAAAAACGAAAAGAAAGAAAAAATAACGCAGCCACGAAGGAATATCCGTTTTGCTCAAGTAACGTGCGAGCATGATACACGGGGAACCCATACGAGACTCGTACGGGGGTTTAAACTCCAAGTCGGCAACTTTGCAACTGATGAAACACGTTGCGCGATCGAAATTACAACGGAGATCATTTTACGTAACAACTGCTATTCTCGATTTGGTATTGTACGAATGTTTCTTAACCCCTTAGCTGTGAATCACTGTGAGTATTCACGCCGTGCGGAAAAAGTAATTACAACTTGTTACTCGCGCGAAAACGAAACGTATTTGTAAATTTTAGACATTTTAGAATATTTTGAGACTAGACTTACATCGTTTCTAAGTATTTTCTTGCTATGAATATTAATTATTAACATTATTTATATCATCGATTATTAATTATCATGTTATTAATTATTAATTATTAACATTATTAATTATTAATATTACTATGTTAATTAAGTTAAACAATAGACTTACTGATTTTTCAAAAAAAAAAAAAAAAAAACTAATGTTACTTCCTTATAATTTAATTCAATTCAGCTGCATATACATATATATGTATGTACTTTATGTTTGACAAGTATGATCGTCATCGTTCCAATGTCGTTCCGTAGCGACACGATCTAGATGCAGAATTTTAAAAACGGCACCACAGCTAAGATGTTAAGTATTTCTTCGCACAAATCACGATCGAAAATAGGTGAGACAATCAAGACAGCGTTGAAAATCTCGAGAGACAACAAATTCGTTGACAGTCAATTAACAAACACTCCGATACGATGAAAAGCAATCGCTATCGAATTCTTTGAGTCATTCATGAAGATGAAGAACGAGTATACGGATTTCACTCTTGCGTTCAAATTTTCCACAGTTTTCTCTTACTGAAACCAATACAGAAAGAAAAAGGGAGAGTTGAACGATCTCGGTGGTTGTTCAAGGTCTGAAACTTGGGGAAATAACGTCTGTGGAAATTCGTTCTCAACTCCCTGTTTCGTACAACGGCCGTTTACGTTTTCCTCGATGTGAAACTTGCAGATGCTTGCATCGAATGACCATGTATACATACACGGTTGTGTTGTTATCGCGTCGGTGAATCAGTGTACGCGCTGGTTCACACGATCGATATCCGAAAATTACTCGGAAATCTGGACGATTACCTCGAGCTTGATTCCGCGAAAACGTCTCTTTCATGGCGAAAGTTTCTCTTTTATCGATCATCGTGCGAGGAAATTTCAATACAGCAGGTTTAGAATAACGCAGCCTGTACGGAAGATTGAGAAAGAAGTTGAACAACTTTGAACCTTGAAACGCAGTGAGATTCGTTTCTTAAAATCAGCGGGTATACTCGAGATTCCGAGACCTCGAACTTGGAACGTACGTACGTACGCATCGTGCACGTGGTGTTTGAATGACTGAATGACGAATAGTTGAAGGTTCGTTGAATCAATTTTTGAACTGCATCGACGAAGTGTATGTCTTCTGTATAAACGAACCTGTTGATAAATTTTCGCACACCACGGTACGGTTGGCGATCGGCGACAATTAAGAAAAAAAAGAAGAAAGATATTTATACGTATATTATCGACCGTGCGGCGTGCACAGCACGTACATACATCGTTCGAATTTCAACACGTCCCGGAATTCCACTCTAATGTAATTAGCTTGTCTATTGCTGGTCTATCGATCTGGCAGGACGCGCGTGTCAATTAAGCACCTCGGATCGAGAAGCGCCGCCGATGTTAGCCTGGTAACGCGTGTGTTGGTGCTCCTGTACGCAACTACTGACACTCGATAGTATGACCAGTGGAAACATACACGGAAATACACACGGCAGAAGAGAGAAAAAGAGAGAGAGAGAGAGAGAGAGAGAGTAAAGGAGAAAAGGAGAAGAGGCAGAGAAAGAAAAGGAAACAGGGAGAAACGGTGGTAGAAAAATTGGCTTACCGCCGAAGAGAGCAGTCGGATCGAGCAACGGATTGGCCTGGTCCGCCTGGAGTTTCTCGGAGGCGGAGGTGGCGCCTGGAGTCGCCGTGGCCGCCGCTTCGCCTCCGCCACCTCCACCGCCCCCGCCACCTCCGCCCGATGCGGAGTTCTCCTTCTCCATGCCAGTCCCCTGAAAACGAGCATCAGCGTTTCGTTAGAACCGTTAACTTCGTACCAGTCGCCTTGCCTCGCCTTGCCTCGCGGGTCGTTTCCTCGCCGGGTAGACGCCCGCCAGAGAATAATAACAGGGATGGGGCGAACAGGATGAAGGAACGTTTGAACATTTTTGCCGTGAAAGCTGACGGTGGCTCCTGACAACGACGGGAACTTTTGTCGCGGAACGATAAACGATTTGTGATTTAACGCTAGAACTACCATTAGGTTGAAGCATAAAATTTCCATACCATAGACATTAAAGTCTAGAAAGGGGGGAGGAAAAAAATAGATAAACTTTATAACACGAGCTTTCATTTATATATTCCAAAAAATTATCAAAATACATTTATAAAATATTTAATAAAAATTAGAAATTTTGACCACTTTGGTGGCTCTAGTGTCAAGTCGGACTCGAGGAGGTAGTAATTTAATTGGAAAATGCAAATTTCATATGAGCACAGCACACGTTGAGGTGGCATGATTTAAACAGAGGTTATCGAGTAGCATAAAAATTCACAGTAGGTGTTGCAATTTATATTATTCAGTAGTTGAGGTTTCAGTTCGTTGAGAGTGACGTTATTCGCAAGGAATTTCAATTTTCCGCGCGATTTGTGCTTAGGCAACGTCGAAGGGGGTTTTCAATGAGACATTTATCTATGTTTACACATGTACACAACGAGCGAGGGAGTAATTGATGAATGAAAAGTTGATAACAGTAAGGCTGGTAGTAACGGAACAATAGTACTACACGTTTCCCTCTCATTGTTCCCAAACCGCCGTGCAATCATCGCGAAGATTCTTTGCGGGCCTTGAACTTCCTCAAACGGCCAAATTGAGAGTGATCGAAATGTACACCCATATATCTGGATTAAAAATAAATTACTTGTGCAAAGTGTCAAACGCCAACAATTAATACCTTTTGGATGAATTAATTTCTGAAACACAGTACGCGCATACATATAACTATGTCTAAAGAAAAAAGAAAGAAAAAGAAAGAAACGCTGCAAGTTGACAATGTTTGAAAAAAAAAAAAAAAAAAAAAGAAAAACGTCGTGTCTGCGCAACGTCTGGATTCCAGCTAATTATGTTAATACGCCGACGCGGCGTCTCGAGACCCGCGAAACATTCTCTCTCTTTCTTACTCGTTCCCCCACTTTTCTATATTATATCGAAGAAAGAAGGTAAAAGTGGGGGATGATAAAAATTCAACGTTATTATTTCAGTCACGCGCATACGTAAGCACGTGTGTATGTGTGTGTGTGTGTGCTGGTATGTTCATTCGATGACTGTTTACCAGTCGAAGAAAGGCTTCCTCGAGCGCTTTAAATAAAGGTCGTTCTCCCCTCCATCGTTTCCCCTCCAGCGCTTCAATCAGCTGACTGGCACACTCCCCTCCCTCGCCGCCCAGCTGTTGTATAAATATACATCGTTACAACGTTGAGTCAGGTTAGGCTGGTGCTAGGCTAGACACCGCACCAGCCACTGGCACCGTTATTATCATACGCTGTTGCCTTACGTATAGTTGACGCGTATATTGCGCGCTCTACACCAGCAAACATATTTACTTACATACACACACACACACACACACATATATACGTACATCTTACATACGCTCCTCTCTCTCTTCTCAACACAGTATTCACCCACTATCGCGCGGAAAAGAAAAAAAAAAATTATGTCGCACTATTGTCGCAGTTTATACGATTTTATATCGCGGAAACGTATCGAGCAGGACATTTTTACAGCTCGACGGAATTTTTGCAAGACGCGATGATCTCGAATTTTTCGTCCGTAGCGAAGAAAATGCAGCTCGTGTTTATCTTTCCAAAGGCAGAGAAAAAGGTTTGCTTCTTCGAAGAGGGGAGTAACGAATTAGCGTGAAAATTGAAACAACGCGGGAGCATCGGAGAATAAATTTCCTCGACGGATGATCGAGGGGGAGAGGGTAGAGAATTCTCTTCGAGTCGACTCGAGACACGTCGCAGAAGAAAGTCCATCATACCGAGAAGCCTTTTATTCCCAATCGAAGGACGAAGCCGCGTGGAAGCCCCCGATCGCCGGAAATTGTCTTGGACCGGCTCGCTTTCTGCGTTCCAGGGATCGATACACGAGCGCTCTCTCGTAGCCTCTGACGTGTCCAAAATCGACTTGCAACCGTGTCATCGGCGATCGATGAACCCTCGACATTCGTCTAACTAAGACACGGCACTTGAATCGTTCCGGTTACGGAACACTCGGTCGATTGATTAACCCAATTCCCCGATACCGTGCAAAACAATTTCCAGTCGTCTTCAGCAATAATTCATGTTCGGAATAACTGTAAATCACGTATAATATGCACGCATGTGGATGGAGGCGCGACATCTATTGTTCTAATATTAAACTGCTTGCCTCGTATGTCAGTGCATGTACATGTGTATTAAGAAGGAGGCATTAAGAAGAAGGTCTAGAAAAAACAGTTGAAAGCCGGCGTGACTTATAGATCAACGAGGAAACTGATTGTGAGTTATAAAACCTCCTTAAAAATCAAATATCTTTGCCTTATAAAACAAAACCTAATTAACCAAATTAACAACAATTCACATTATTTTCGACACGTTGTTTCAATCCGAGCGAGTGTGGCTACTGTTACCGATAGCAACGAACGGAAATAAGCAAAGAAATGGAGAAGACATACTGACGAACACACGTTGTTATTATCCCAGTCGATCTCGTAAATTTCCAAAATCTGCGTTAAAGTCTCGAGTGCATTCCATCGCACCAAAAATACGTACCAAAGCTGCTGTTCCGAGCGCTTTCGACTTTCGTCGAAGGCAGAAACGCGATTAAACTCTAATTCGATTAGAGATCGTCTATCCGGCGTGGAACTCGTGACTCGAAGAAGAGCTACGCGCGAAAATAACCTGATAACGGGGCCATTGTTCGCCAGATCGAAAATATGGCACGGAAGGCAGAGAGAAAGACGGAGAGGAGGCTGCGGAGGCAGAGTGAAAGATGGCCGGCGACGAAACTTCCATACCTCGATTGTACGTGTTCAACCGGGCATGATACTTTCGGGATGGCAGCGAACCGCGACGTGACGATCACGAGTTGCTAAAAATTCGCCGCTCACAGGCCGCCACCGCGATATTCCCCGGATGCCTGTTTCCATGCGGGGAGGGAATACCGAAGTGACCGTGCAGGAGCGAGCGTCGAATTCCCGGTAGCCAAGGAATATCGAGAAACGAGTCCCCTTCTCCCCCTATCGCGACGACGCGACGCTCGCTCTGGCACTCCCGGTCTGCCTGCTCTGGAGAGGAGGCTGCCCGGTTTTCAGCCGCGCGAGCACTTCCAGACGCTGGTAAATTGGCGCAAGGAAGAAGAGCGGGCTGGGAGGAGGGGGGAGGCGAAAAGGTACGAGAGGAAGGAGAGAAAGAACGAAGAGACGAGGAAGAAAAAGAAGAAGGAAGTCTTCGGTCAACGAGAGAGAATCGAGAGACGGAGAGAAAGAGGCGGCCGTGAGGAGGGACGCTGAAGAGCCGGAGGTAGAGCTCGAGAACCATCGATTTCTTCGCTCGGCGTTACGCTCCTTCGACTGAGAAAAACTTGCCGCTCTCTCCGCTATGGCCGCGCGCGCGGCAACGAGAGAAATCCCTCCCTCCCTCCCGCCCCCCTCTTGGAAACGCTGTTATTAAGAGATACGCCGGGCGAGAGCGTTCGAAAAACTTCGGGATCGATATGCGGAAATAGCGTTGCTCGTCGAAGACAAAAACGACTCGCCGTGAGATCTCCGGCAAGATCTCGTGGACGCGCGACGAGTCGAGGCACGATACGATCAAGCTGTACAAGCTGTCGGTGGAAACGAAGGGAACGTAGAGACTTTTCGAAAGACGCGTCGGTCATAAAACACGCGCTTGCGAAATCTCAACAACGACCGATGGCACAGCGGACGGACAAGGCACCAATCACGATACGTCGTTAACCTAGATTCCAACTCTCCTTTCCGCGTGGCTCTCGACCACCAACGAAATCTTGAAACCACACGTGAACATCGGCATCACGAGGTTGCAAAATCCTTCAAAAACAAGGGGAACGAATTCCCGTAACGTTTAGCCGTTGTCTTGCAATTGCTCCAACATTTACAGTTATTATAAATATAATATATTACACGAATCACTCTGGAAAATGTCCAAGAAATGCAACGTGCAACTGTCAACCCCTTTAGAATCGAATTGATAGAATTTGCGAGAGAAACAGTTGGCTTGCGAGACAACTGTTAAGAAATAAAATTTCGTGTATTAAAGCGGATCGAAGGAATTAAAGTTGGGGCAAATATTTTTATTCGAACGCTCTCCGACCGACCCCTTGAAGAACGCGAGATGGAGGGTGGAAAAAGAAAAATGGAGGCCGCTGCGAACGCGACTGGGCCAGGGTGTAACAATAACATGGAAATGGGGGTACAGGGGACGTGGTGGTGTGTCTCGTATATCTTGTCGAACATTCTGTTCGCTACGCAGAGAGAGAAAGGCCCCTTTTTCTTTTTTCGCTCGAAAAGTTCATCGGTTATTGCCGCGCATAGTGACCCAGACACATCTATGGAACTTTCCCCGCCTCTCCCGGAGAAAAACTTCAACCCCTTTCTGTAATTGATCGCGCGCCACGTGTCGTATTTCATCTACAGTTTATAGAAACGATTTCGATCATTTCCTCGAATGAAACGACTCCTCAACGTAGTTCCTCAATGACCCAACTCTGTTTAGTTTCATTCATAGATCAAAAATTGTTAATTCGCACGAGAGTTGTGAGTAATTCAGATCGGGAAATTCCTGAAAGTCGCGGTACATTTCGGAACGATCCGTGCGTTGAAACGGAACAGAGAGTGTTCTTAATCATTTACAAATGGTTGATTTAAATTTATGCTCCGAGATCAGGATTATTCGCGAGGTAAGGTAATAAACGAGATTTTTATATTCAAAGTTTAACAGGACCGTC